AAAAAAAAAAATAATAATAATAACAATAAAAAAACAGTAAGTAAAAAAAAAAAACCGCGGGCGGGCCATGGATTTCCCAGCCCGTAGAAATGCGGGCCATTTTGGCCCGCCCCTTTTGAACCGCGGGCCAGCGCAGGCCGAACCGGACCGGCCCGTTTGACAGTGCTATACATATCAATACAAAGAATCCACAGAAGTCTTGGACTTATTTCAAGCAATTTTCCAACTAAAAAAGAAATTTATTCCTACCCGTAATGATATCATTTTCAACAAATTAGTATAGATTAGAAGATATAGGAATCTTCTTCGATTTTAAAAAATTATATGGTTGGTTTCCTAATACTTTTTGGATATAAACTTAATAAACAACATTCATTTTTTATTTTTCGCATTCGATGTCACTATCCAAAATATATATTGAATTCCTAATTCTATGGAAACAAACATAATCAACATAATTTTATGGAAACAAACATAATCAAGAAACGAAAGTTCTCAATTATAGTTTCTTAGGCCTTGACTATAAATAAGAGTCAAAGACAATCATTATCCCATGTTGGTTTAGTTTTGAAGGATCAGTTACACGTTGCTCCCGTGTCACCAATCGAAACTGTTTGAAAGTATTAGTTTGTGGTGACAATGACTCTCCAACAAATCAAACAAAAAAATTGTATAATAAAGAGATTTTCAATAATATATGATATAAGTTTCCCATGTTATTGTCGAGTTGTGTATTATTGTCGTATGTATAATAATCATCTCACAATTTAATATCCTTCAAATTTTAAATATTTTACTTTAAATATATTGTCCCAGTGCATTGAACGGGTCACAAAGTATATAGAAAGAGGTTGTTGGGATACTCTAAAATAGTAATTTTGACTTTGTAATTAAATAAATTGACTTACTATTAAAGGAAATATGGTAAAATATATTTATATATTTTTTAAAAATAAAATCAAATTATACCTACCTTTTGCAAATCATTCATCGGTTAATATCATGAGTTTCTATATAAATAAAGTGGTATCAGTTTTTAAAGTTATTTTGTGATAATTACCACAATAAAATCCAATTTTTAATATTATTACGAATCCATGCAATTTCGTATTCTTTTGGTAACAAAACCATATCCTTAGTTTTCTACAACATGTCTCAAAAAAAGGAACTATTATATAGGTTTTGTTTGTAGAAAATATCATTGAAATATGCATGATGAAGTTTCAAAATTACACACTAAATATTGAAAATCAGTTATGGAAATTTTATTATAATATTTATCACAATAATAAAATAGAATATTATTTGTCAACATTATAAATATAAATATAACAAATCACTGTGATTTTCTTATTCATACGATAAAATATAAATATATTCATATTAAAATGTGTTCAGTACAAAATAATCTAAAATAGTAATTGGTATGTTTATGCCATGGATTTAAAAAATTAATCTAAAAATATAAAAATACAAGTAAGCAATTACTTCTAGGATAGTTTATATACAGTATTAAAATGATAAATCAAAGGGTCATTTTTCTAACTATCTTTAAATTATTAGATTATGAAGAATTAAAATATTTATAATATTTATTGTTATAAACTATGATAAACCATTTTCGAACTGACATGCAAATTAAAGTTTAGAAAACAAAATATAAATATTTATAATATATTTTGTTACAAATTATAATGACATCTCAACGGATTATTT